GTAACATGTCTATACTTACCTGCTCAGTGCAATAGAATTGCACAGAACGGATCTGAACCTGCTCTTTCTCGTATCCCCCACTGGATCCACCTTTCTACCTAGTGCCCCATATAGGAAGCCGCTTCCGATGGGGGTACTTGGAAGGCCCTGCTCCCTCACCACTAGGTTTGATTGACAGCAGTGGGAGCCAAAGTGAGGGGAGAGAAGAGCTGCAGGCATACCCAGTTCTTAATCAAATGAGAGCTCAGGTAGGTATGAAGGGGGAGGGGGGAGGGAGAGGCCAATACCGATTTTTTTTTTTTTTTTATTTTTTTTTTTATTTTTTCTTATGGAATGCGTTAAGGTAAAAAATGTTTGGACTGCCTGAAAGTGGTTCTAAAGCCTACAGTCCTCTTGTTTTCATTGAGCCTGTTAGCTTTTGCTTGCTGTGTTGCCCGATCTTCAGTTGAATAGCTCATGAATGTCCCAAAGGTGAAGGACTTCCTGTGTCCTGCAATGGAAAACAATAAAATATAGGATATTTTTGTACTTGCCCTAAATTCTTGGAGTCCATTGAGGGACACTAGTCTTCCCCCTTTGTGTTTGTGGTCATGCTCTCTGTACTGCTTGCTGAAAAATGAACATGTTGGCAATAGGAGAGGTTATCCTGGTCTAGCCACAGTATATTTTTTTGGATTGTCCAATCCTATTGGTGATGGTATAACCCAAAGGTGAAAGACTTCTGTGTCCCTCAATAGACTCTAAGAAAAGGATTTTGTGGTGGGTACAAAAAAGTTTTGTTTTTTTTCCCTCTGTGGTAACCATGCACTTTATTTATGCCAAAAAATGTCCTTTAACGCCATGTGCTCTGGGCTTTTTGAAGACCAGATCTCACTAATGGATACTATTGATCCTAAGGTCTGAAAACTGTATGATGTTGAGGTAAAGCGTATTTAAAACCAAAAAACAAAAAAAGTTCAGCTTGCCAGTCCGTAGATGTAGTGGCTGCATTAGCTTTCAACTTTTCAGGCTCAAAAGTACACTACCACATCTAAGTACTGGTACGCTGTGTTGTATTTTTTTTTTCTCTTTTTGGGCTAAAGTGAAGTGGAACTCCAACCCATAAGACACAACTAAAAAGTGTGAAGATAACTTCTGAAATGTGCTTGTCAAACACCTTTTTTATCTGATATTTTTTTTTTTTTTTTTTTTTTTAATGTTCCTCTCTGTTGAGGGAATTTGGGCAACACAATGAAGTTATGTTCGGTAGTCCACACCCTCCCTGTTGATTTCAAATCCATGCTCAGCTAGGAGTCACAAGACAGTTCACAAGATGGTTATGATGTATATGGCAATCTGCAGACCCCTTTGGCCAAACAGCTTTTTTTTTTTTGGTTTAAATTTAAATAGACCTTGTTGGATTTTCTTAGGCAATTGCTAATATAAAAGCAATGCCGATAAAGTCTGCAAAATGCATACTCATGCACGTTCTTACAGTACAAGCATCCACGTCTATGCCCTTGTTTAATTACAGATCCTTCTTGGTAATGGGTCTTGTACCTCTTGTTATTGAATATAGCATGCTATATATATTACTGTTACTGATCTTTTATGTTCCACAAGTGTTATTGACTAAGTTTTTAACTTTTTCAAATGTACATCTGGCCCCATCCACAGGTGCAATATGGTAACAGTCTGTTTAGATAATAAAGCATGTATGGTTTAATGCTTGACCATATATGTATGCAATTTCTAGAAATTTCAACTGGCTTTTTATTGTAACATATCAAGGTGGTCTAACAACTATTCTTATAACTGTATAAACTGTTGGTGGTAGTTTGCTTTAACCCTTCAAATATTGGCATTAAAAAGCTAGTTACGTGATCGAAATTGTTAGAAATTGCATTAATTTAGGAAGTATTAGTTCGGTATATATGACGGTCGAGCCGGGCCCCAATTTCGCATATAGATGCACCGCAAAAGAGAAAAGCACCAATTTTACTACACAAATGGGCTAGAAGCACCTGCAAATATTTGTTGAGAATCCCTTTAAGGAAGTCTTCCAGAAACATTGCTAATTGAATATTTTTTATAATGAATACACAAAAATTAGATTTTGTTTTCATTTTAAGATGGTAAATCTTTAGAACACATGCTGGGTTTTTAGTACTGTATGTGTTTTTAGAGGGGGGGGGGGGGTTTCTCTTCCTGTTCTGATGGTAACATGAAGGTAAAGTTCTCCAACTGGGATGCAGAACGCAATAACAACCATGTCTTGTCTTTAGAACAACATATTCAGAGAGGCACTGGGAACTTTTAGATTTGCAAGTGTAGTCAGATGAAGGAAAACTTCCTCTAAACTTAGTAGCTCTAGAGAGGTGGCTCTCACACAGCAAGGCTTTCTTTGATGGGCACCCAGTAGTAGCTAAAACTACGGAGAGGTGCGTCAGACATAAATCAGATAAGAGTCTAGGATAATTTTAATTGTTGCTAAAAAAAAAATCGTATTAAAAACAGGCAACATGTTTTTGGGGGCAACAACCACTCCCCCTTCATCAGGGCTCAACACAGGATAAAACTTGCATGGACTAAGAGAAAACCATGACTTCACAGATCTAGCAAGTGCTGTCAAGTTTTTTTTTCCCTCTGTGCGGAGAGCTCAATACTGGTTCCAATATAGATTTTGTCAATCCTAGTTTTATTATATGTTGAACCCTGATAAAGGGGGAGTGTTGCCCCTGATACACATTGAATGTGTTTTTTTTTTTTTTTTGTTTTTTTTTTAACAAAATAATCTGATTTTGGTCTGGCACTCCTTTCTTTATTTCTATGGTTTGAACTTGTATCCCTTGGCCCTCAGGCTGACTAGCTTAAGGGGAGACACTTAGAAACTTTTTACCATTGGCAGCCACCATATTTCTCTTCTGACAGGTTTACTTTAAATGTATTTATTGCTCATTTTGGCTTCATCTTAGGTTTGTCATTTGAAATCTGTTTCACAAAAATATTAGACATCTATTTGTTGTACAACTGTTGAATGGTTTAAGTTAAATATTTTTGCATTTCACATTTTTCATTTGAACCAGAGATCAGTATTGTTAAAGAGCACATTTTAGTTAGCAGAGCAAGCCAAAGGTTCCTTCTTCAGATAAAGATATTCTACAGAGATGATAGATTTTTAGACGTGTAGATACTGCGTTTGTCCTGTGAAATGTATTGTGACATTTAATCCAGCTATATTTATTTTGTAGATGTGAATATTTCACCTTTTTGTCTGTTTTATTGTATATAAGAGGTTTAACATGCTTTATTTTTAAATAAATGGCAAAACTGTCATATAAAAGCTTCTGTCATCTTTTAAAGATTTACAGACCAAGTGTATGTTCACTAGCTACTGTAAAATGTATCAACATACTTTGCATACAAAAATGGTTGGGGGGGGGGGGGAGTTGATGCTAGGACAAAATGGACAAAGGATAGAAAGAACAACAGTGTGTTTTTTTTTTTTTTTTTTTTTTAAATCACTCCCAATGGCAAGATCTTTGCATCAAATTTTAAGCTCTGTCCACCTAACGTGTACATTCTGAAAAGGTTTATTGCCAAATTCTGTTTTACATTATGAACATTTTTTGCAGACTGCCTAATGGGTGCAGCAGTAGGGCAGGGTCAGAAATCCTAACTAGCCGAACTTTTCAATTGTATGTGTATTTAATGTTTGTTTGAACCCACTGATCACCCAAACTACAAATACAATTTTAAAGATGATCAGCAAACCGCTAAATACCCAGTGAAAATAAATAAATGTGAACTGCGTTTACTGCTAACAGACTGGTAATTATAATTCACTATTCTTGTGATCCAGGCATCTTCACTAAAGCTGGCCATAGATGGATGGAATTTCAAACTAAAATTTTTAGGAAAATTCATACAAAAATCTTCAGAACATTTTGAATGTCATTCAAAAGATTTAATTTGCTTTTAATGTTTGATTTTTGAATGAATGGACTTTATCAAACGAAAAACCACATACATCAGTAGAAATGTGTTCGTTTGAGATTTTTTCCATCCCTCTTCAAATTTTCTCATTGTTGCAGTTGGAAATGTAGGCTTATTTGATACACTGATGATTAGAAAGATGAACAAACTCTTAGGACATTCTTTTCCTAAGAATTTTTGTTAGAATTGGTAGTGATCTCTGGCCACCTTAAGTAGCCTAACCAGGCTCCTGATCTCCATCTTTACTGTATACAGTACTTTTTTTTTTTTTTTTTTTTTTTTTTTTCCTTTTTCCCAGCATAGTGCATGTCATTGCACGCTGGCCGATTAGAACTCTGTGTGACATTTCAATAAAGTAAATTAAAAAAAAGGCAATGCCCTAGTATCAGCGCTTTTACACTGCACTGGTCCAGCCAGACCGCACTGCACTCAAGCCACTGCGCTGAAATGCAGCAGCTGGTGTCACGAAGCCCTGAGAGAGTATTTCATCTTGTATTTTTTGTATGACTATGAATAATCTGTTCTTCTTTACTGGAAGTCAGCCAATATTTGTTATCTTGAATTATTGGTTTATTATGAACATAATGAATATGATTTTAATTGCATTATTTATTTCAGTGAACCTTTTTTTTTTATTTTTCTTAATATAATATATTTTGATTATTATTGGCCATGATGGTAACTGGGCTTTGAAAAGCTTATGAGGTTTCTTGTGTTACTGCTGCAAGTAACTTGTTTTCCACAGCTGATAGTCAATGCAGTTGCCAATATCCATATTATTAATGGTACAGCAAACACACAGGCTGGATGGTGGTTTTAATTTCTTGTGTTTATTATTATTATTATTATTATTATTATTATGAGGTCTGATCTAGGTTTCGGTAAAATGTATCCATGTTTAAATTTTTATAGCTTTTTGTTCGCCTTATTAGTTGTTGAAGCTGAATATTGGAAAAAAAAATTCTAATGAGCCCACACACTGGGTTCTTATGACATGACATTACTAACCTTTTCTACCCTTCTAGCCAAAGTCCATCCCCAATGCTATTTGTGGAATTTGTCTGAAGGGTAAGGATGGCAACAAAAGGGGAAGAGCCGAGAAGCTTATACACTGTTCCCAGTGTGAGAATAGCGGTAAGTAATATTGCAGATTAAAGTGTATATAAACCCTAACTATGATTTTTTTTTTTCATTTGCTCCCTGTTGATCTGTTAAACATATAATTAAAAGTGTTTTGTTATCTGTTCAGTCATTGCAAATAAAAATACCTGTTGATGCTGTTGAAAGGCTAGTGAACCGATAACTTTCTTTGCCTCTGCTGGCTATTATCCATTAGCATTGTTTCTGGTTCTCTCTCTGATCTACAAATTGCCCCCCCATGTTATGGAGATGAGGAGTTCTTCCGTAGTCTTAAGACACTTGCTCCTCTAGGATGACTATGCTGCTTTTTTTTTTAGGTTAAGTATGACAAGTAAGCATTGTCCACAGGACAGGAAGTGTGTTCCTGCAGGATTACCAGGTGAAAATAAAGGAAGGGAGGGCTAAAAAAAAGTAAAAACAAATGCAACCACAACATCTAAGGCCCTTTTCGCACGAAGTGTCCGATTTTAGGTCGGCTGTCAGTTTTTCAGGCGGACCTGATCGGACCCTCCATTCACCCTTATGGACTGGAGGGTATAAATGGGGGGCGGTCTATAGATGCACACAGCCCGGCTCAGGTTTGGGTCCACACGTATGCCAACATAGGAAGCTGCTTCCTGTTGTGGCACACGGAGAAGGGGATGATCCGAGAGCGCCAGAGCAGGGTAAGCATGACATGTTTTGTAAAAGTTTATTTAATTTTTAAATCACTTAAACTTTGTAAATTTAGGTATTTTATTTATTTCTAAATTAGGTTTCAGCTTTGAGTAGAACTGCTTTTCTCTTTGGTTAGTTTTGGAAGGTTAGGACCACTTAGGTTTTTATTGTGGTGTGTTCCCATTGTAGATATCCTCTCGATATGCTGCAGTGCCAAGTGTCACCTGTACAGAAAGTGAGGGTAAATCTAAAATTTTGAGGTTTGTTCCCAGAAGAGGGTTAGGAAGGATATTTTCCAATCCTGACTCCTGTTTGAATGAATGACAGTGGTCACGTTCAGGATTGTATGATTCTTTTTTTTTTTTTTTTTCATTCTTCTGGGACCATGCTTAGTGGAGACAGTCAGACTAATGAGGCCTTTAACCAGTTCAGGACCACTGTATAGCAGATTTACTGCTACAGGGAGGCCGTTCTGTGCAAAATCACATGTGTGTGTGTGTGTGTGTGTGTGTGTGTGTGTATATATATATATTATATATATATATATACGTGTTTTTGCACTTCCTGGGTGTAGAGGGCGCACACAGCAGAATCCGATCAAAAAGTGCCAGCCAATGGATGAGCGCCAGCACCTGTTGATTGAGGAGGGTGACAGGACACAGCTCTGCCTAAACAAGGCAAAGCAGGGGAAACAAAATCTAGCAGATTGCTTAGTAAAAGCACCTAACTCTAACACAAAACACAACTAGGCACACAGTTAACCCTTTGATTGCCCTAGATGTGTCATTAATACAGCAACAGTGTATATTTTTTAGCCCTGAACACTGTATTAGTGTCACTGATTCTCACAAAGTGTCAGATTGTCGGCTACAATATGCGGCCCTTCTATAAGTCGCTAAACCCTGCCTTTACTAGTATAAAAATGAATAAATATTCCAGTGTATATAGACCATAGTTTGTAGGCACTTTAACTACTTGCCCTCCAGAGGATTTACCCCCCTTCCTGAACAGGCCATTTTTTTTTTTTTTTTTGCAATAATGCACTTCGTTACTTTAACTGACTATTGCGCGGTCATACAACACTGCACCCATATTAAATTTATGTCCTTTTTTCCCCACAAATAGGGCTTTGTTTCGGTGGTTATTTGATTGCCTCTGCGTTTTTGTTTTTTTTTTTTTTGTTTTGTTTTTTTGCGCTATAAACAAAAAAGTTCGACAATATTTTTTACTTTTTGCTATTAAACATGTCCAGTAAAAAAATTAAAAAAAAATAAAATTTCATAATAAATTTAGGCCAAAATGTATTTTGCTACAGATCTAAAAAAAAATCCCAATACATGTAAATTGGTTTACATAAAAGTTACAGCATTTACAAATGGTGGTGTATATATACTGGGATTTTTTTTTTCACTAGTAATGGCGGCGATCAGCTACTTGTAGCGAGACAGTGGCTGACATTCTGACACTGGGGGGAACTGATGTGGTGTCACTGACGTCCTCAGTGACACCAATACAGTGATCAGTGCTAAAAAAAAAAATCGCTGACACTGTACTAATGACACTGGGCAGGAAGGGGTTAACATGAGGGGCGATCAAAGGGTTACCTGTGTATACGGAGTGTTTTTACTAGGGAACAGTGTCTGTGTGCTTCACTGCCATCCAAAGCAGTTCTCTTCCCCGTCGGAGATCTTCGGTAATCACTGGCCATAACCTGGTGATTGGACAGCCGTGGTACCTACCCGGAAATGCAAAATCACGTGTGTATATATACGTGATTTTGCACACCCGTGCACCCTGTAGCAGTATTTCTGCTATAGGGTGGTCGGGAGGCGGTCAACTTTTGCGCAAACCAATCAATATACGCTTATTGGGAAATTTTTTTTTCCAAAATTATGTAGCAGAATACATATTGGCATCATTTTTATGAAGAAATTTTGATGTTTAAAATATGGTTTTGTTGGATATGTTTTTATAGCAGAAAATTTTAAGTTTTTTATTTTTGTTTTTTTGTTTTTGTTTATATCACAAAAAATAAAAACTGCAGTGGTGATCAAATACCACCAAAAGAAAGCTCTATTTGTAGGGAAAGAAATTACATACATTTTATACGGGTACAGTGTTGGATGACTGCACAATTGTCAGTTAAAATAACGCAGTGCCGTATTTCAAAAAATGGTCTGGTCATGAAAGGGCATAAATCCTCCAGGGGGCTAGTGGTTAACTAAAACTCGCCCTAATAATGGCTAATAAAGGTCTTTCTTTGTCTTAAAGACAGCATTTTTTACAAGAACAATGTTTTACAATACCACATATTTTTTTTTTTCTCAAGAACGTGGCTTAAACTAGCTAGGTCAAGTATTGAGATAATGCTTACATTTACCAACTAGTGAAACCCCCATTATAAGCAGCAGCGTTAAGGTTTTGTATGTGTGGGTTTTTTGTTATCGTTTTTTTTTTTTTTTTTTAGAATGAGCCAGAGGTAGGTAGTTTTTTAATTGTACATCACAGGACACAGGGCTTATTCATGTGCATTCCTACTTGGGTTATGCTGCCACTTTCATCTCAATAGATGGTGGCCCAGAAATAAAAGGCAGGTTTTCTCACTCAGGTATAACTATGAAAATTCCTTTCTGGGATGTTTTTACTTATTGTCTTTTCTTCCCTCTTCTGTATGCCCCTGCTAATGTAAATTAAGGAAATTATCCAGATCAGTTGTGTGTGGCTCTAGGGGCCCAGAGGGACAGTACCTGAACCCTGCTATGGAAAATTGGGGATGGTCTCTAAGGTTGCTGTTTAGTACTAGACCATGCAGGCAGCAGTCACATCCAGGGTATTGTGTATTGGGTGAGCTTACTGGTAGGATGCTGTACAGGTCCAGGGTGGTGATGCCCTGCGAATAAGTCACCTTTTTTTGCATGCCCACTGTGATGGGTAACTGTGGTGATCCCTGGGTGCCCCTGTGTACTTGCCAGTACATGCTTATGGGTGGATGTACTGCCAACAGTAGCAGTGTTTGTGAAGCGTGGGAACTTGGTGGGGCACTCTGACACTGACCTAAAGTGATGGCAAACCCTCACCTTGTATAACAACCCCATTCAGTTTAACATAGAAATTAAAGGCAAAGCATCTGTGTATAGATATAAGGGGAAGAGAACTAACAGCAGACTCCTCTTCCCAGTGAATGGCTGTGTGCAGGGGGTTGGGGATTGGACAAGCCTGATTGAGGAGAAACACACTGAGTTCCCAGCACAGATTGAGAACTAACCATGCTGTACTGTCCTGCCTAGCGTAGTCATTTTTTTAAAGAAAGCAATACAAAGAAATGGGATACTTTTTCATACAAGTACAAGGCACATAAGGAACATATTAGGGAAATGAAATGTTGTACATATTTGTTTAGCATACTGAAACACACTTTTTTTTTTCTCCAGTGGCAGCAAGTCTATTCAACACACAGACACAATGACTAATAAGAGATTTGTAAGTTCAGCAAAGAGACCTACAGCAGGGATTTTGTATCACCACCAGGTGTCTTGGTCCAATCAACAAGAAAAAGCCCTGGGCAGCACTCTGAATGTATTTTAAAATCTATATATAAAATGAAATGAGCGCAGTGTATAGGTGTAAGTAAGTACGGTAGCTGCTTTGCACAAAAAGGCACCTCGGGAACCTCCAAAGTAATTGATAAAGAATGAGAGTGCAGCGCTAACCCAAATAGCGATTAAACATATGATAGACCACATATGATAGTGGATCAGTAAAATGTCAGTTTTGTAAGTTCATCAGATGTGCTGAAAGTGCATACAGTCTCCAATATGTAAAGAACCAAAAGTAGTGACTTTCAGAAATGATAATAGCCAAATAATGCACTAACCAAGATAGCGCATATTAAAGCGCATGGAGCATTTAAGACCTGCCCACTGGTGCTCAGCCACTGTATCACTGGAGCCAGGAGATGTCATCTATAGGGTGACCACTAGATGTCATCTATCCGGATGGAATTTGGTTGAGTCCAGCCACTGTATTAGAGGATCCTGGGGATGTCATGATGTCATCTAGGCCTGGGACTGACCACTAGATGTCATCCTTTCCAGGAGGAGCTGTGTCATGGATCCAGGGATGTCACTTGCAGAAATGTGTCCTTTGCTAAGCACAGCCCCAGGACCTTCAGAATTACAGGCTTCTTCTGCTAGCTCTTTGCCAAGTATTAGCTTCCCATGTCGTAGATAATTCAGGATTCGCCCAAAGTAGGTAGGGTCCCGATCGATTAGATAGGCTCCTGTTTTCATCCGCTACCAAAACACTAACTCTGCCTTCTCAAAATTCTTACGCACGAA